ATTAAATAAGTTATACCCAATATCTCATTCAATAAATTATCTGTACATTTTTATAAACATATTTAACAAAACATTATGATGTGATATAAAACAATTTCTTATATTATTCATTTTTAGGGGTCGTTTGTTTACCTCTTAATAGTTCAATTAAGATGTACCATCTGAATCATTAAGAGGTGAATCTTGTTTGGTAAAAATAAATCTGTCTCTTAATGGTTTTAAAACTCTCTAAATGATTTTATATTTTTTATCTCCCTTAACCATTAAGCACCCTAATTTCATTGTAAACAATTATATTTCATTTTGCATTATATTATGAGAGTTTTTAATCATTCTGATCACTTAATCATTCTACATCAAATCATTCAGCAATTGCCAAACTTACAAGTACCAACACAATTTCTTAATTAGAAATCTTAGTGGCAATTAAAAATCCTTAAAAGAAACCATTAGAAATCCTTGTAGTGGATGATTACTACAAAATAATTTATAACACAATTTTTAGAGTGTTGGAGCATATTCTCCAAACCCGACAAAATAGAGATATTAGGGATTTTGGGTATATTTTTTACTTTAACATATCCTTCAAAACCTTTCTCTAAATCATGAAAGTAGGAGAGAGTGTAAAAATCTCTGAATTTGTAGAAGACCCCAAAAATGATTATAATAAGAGAGAAATATTTTTAATATATATTTTTTCTAACAATAAACTTTGAAATTAAACATTTAAAGAGATAAATAATATTTTATCAGATGAATAGAATATTTTAATAATATAATCAATGTTGTAATCTCCGAAATGAAAAATCTGTTAGAATTGAAGATATTTTTGTTTTAAAGATTTTGAAATTTCATTCTTTAGATTTTGACAAGTGATATGTCATATTTTAAAATTATTTTACATTATAGTGATTTTTATCTAATTTCTTAAGTGACATGTCACTTTAAGAAACTGTATGCTAATTGAATAACAAGAAAACTACAATAAAATATTAATATCAACTTTAATTTAACATCAAATAACTTATTAATTAAATAATTATAATTAAAAAATATTTTATTTTGATTTGTAAAATGACTTTAATTTGATAAATAAATATCTAAATAACACTATTAAATACATACAATTTTATTGAACACTAAACCATTAGATTAAACATTATTAAACGTTAAAACATTAAATTATACAAAAGTAAAAATATTGTATTAATCATCAATTTTTCCTCTTAATTTTTATGAGATCTCGTCAATCAAATCTGATTGCAAACGATGATTCATTGACGTATTACATAACTGTACGTGATTTTGGAAATAATTTTCATATTTTAGGCATTATTTGACAAACATAAGCTAGCTTATTTTTTGAGGAATCGTTTGTATACACATAAGGTAACTTATAAATTAACTAATAAGCTAGCTTATTGATGAGCTACTTGGATTAGCTTATAAGGAGCTTTTTGACACTTTTTTCAATTATAACGATGTTTAATATTAATTGTTAATCATTAATAAATATTAACTATTAATTGTAGGTAAATATTAATTTTTAGTAATTAAAATTAATAAAAGTTATTAATTAATTTTAATTATACATTATCAATTAATTTTAGTTATACAATAGCTATTAATTATTTTTAAATGTTATTAACTATATCAACTATTTTTATAGTTATTACTCAATATATTTATATATCAAAAAACAGATATACTTGACTGAATGGTTCAGCTACTTCATCAATTATTTTCAACAGGATAATGAATTGTATAAATGGCTCCAAAATTTCTTATCCCAATTCCATCATTATCACTTGATGTATACAAACCAAGCACATACACACTACCATCATACAAACTAAAACAAAAGGTTAACAAAAACCTAAACTGTAAGTTTACTTTTTTTCATCAATAAATCCTAAGGGCATTGTTTATTAGCAGCTTAATGAGATTCACATCTTATTAGATATCCAGGTTAATAAAAAAAAACAATTATAAGAATTCTAATAATATTTATGTAAGTTACGTACAAATTAAATGTATACTTATTTTATTTTATAGATAATTAAAATATGTTAAATAATTTTAATAAAATTTTTAATTTAGTTATTAATTATATTTTTGAAAAATAATTAATTAATAGAATATATGAGGTTGACCAATTTTATTGTTATTCGTTTATATGTAATGGTTATTTAAAATTATACATTAATGTAGATTTTTTCTAAAATTTGTTTTAACAAATTCAGAGTTTATAATGTGTGTTTATATAGATAATCAATTTTAAATTCTTTTAATTAACATATTATAATTTTAATTTTTCTTTACTATCTTGTTTGTATTAATTAACATATTATATTATTAGAATTTATTTGAATTATATTATCAAATATTTGTAATTGACTATTTTTTTAAATGTCATTTTTGATCATTTTACATGCTTATAAGTTAATTTTTATAAACATAATTTATTCATCAACTAACTTATCAGATAACAGCTAGTTTATCAAATAACTTCCCAAACATAGCTTTATGAAGAACACTATGACTTGTGTTGCAATATTAGTTATCTTTTATTTTATTAATATTCGTTAATACGTTAATGTTAAATTTAAAAATAATTATTATAGCAATATTAATTAATTGATGATCAAACTATTTATATTTTTTAATCAATCTCATTAAATAAATTATTCATATGTATTTTATAAACATATTTGATAAAGCATCAAAAAGCATAATATGATATTAGCATAGTTCTGAATAATTGGTTATGGCGTGTTATGACGTCAAGGGTTAGGTTTGCCCGTCACGTTAAACATTAGGGTTCCACTCTAAGTGAGCGTTTGGTTCGTCGGAAGCTGATGGAATTGGAATGGTCAATTTCGTTGACCAAATTCCATTCAAACATTTGGTTAAACCTGATAACATTTCATTTCAATTTATTTGACAATTTCTATTCCTTCATAAATCATTCTGCGAACCGGACGCCCCCTTAGACTTGCATTGTAACATGTTATGGCGCGTTACAACATGTTATTTTTGTAAGGTGTGGAGTTATTTTAGTATATAACTTGAGAGATAAATGATAAGTATATACAAGACCTAGGACTTAAATAAACATAAAAAAAACTTTAAAACTAAAACCTTAAATAGGTAAATACTTATTCACATTCCCATACATGATAAATCTAACATGAATTTATTGAAAAATGAAGAAAGTAATGAGTAGAGACTCAAAAGATTTAATCCTGATTTTACACTTTTGATGTCATTTTCTATAAGATCCATATATTTTGGTATTAATGGTTCTTCTTTCTTTTATGGTTATATTACTTTATATAAATTTAATTTGTTCTACGATAGTATACAAAACACTAACACATACAAATGTGTGTGTGTGTGTGTGTATTGTTAAGGACACCGTCTCAATACATATAATTTACATATAAACGAAAGATCGTGTGAGAATAAGAGTTAAAGTGAGAAACTTAAGAAGGAATCTGGACCCTTGATCACTTTTAATAGACGAAGGATTGTGTGAGAATATGAGTTACGATAAGAAACGTACGCAGGAATCTGGACACTTGATCACTTTTAATCTCACCCCACCCCACCCCATGAATTACGCTTGATACGGGAATTGATTTGGTGCACATCGTTAGTGTTAATCTTTAATTATGATTTACCCAAGGGTGGAGATCCCTTCTTACCCTTCTCTAAATAACTTTCACTTTCACCGGAATCTAACCCTATATATGCCGCCCTAGGGCACGCCTTAAAAAATACCATGGCCTGGTCTTAACTCGTTAGGCTTGGGGCTCGACCTCACCGCCACTCCAAGCCTTACGTCATTTAGAACCTTGGATATTAACAATTACCAAAAAACAATTTCATATAAAAAAATACCCACAATTTCTTATATATTGATCGTTACTACATTAACAAAAATTACTGAGATGACATTAACAATTACTAAAATTCAATATCTATTAAGAAAGTATACTCACAACAACAATAATTCTAATACAATACCGTATCACGTTTCTTATGTATCACTTACGAAATTTGCTAACAGATCATTGTAATGAATGGCTTAAACATAAACATGTAAAAGAATATTGATAACCAATAAACTATGTACTATTTATATTGTAAAATAGTATATATATAAAAAATACAGGTTTACTTTATAATATTGAAAAATTCCCTTAAAATACAGATTATGAAAATAAATACATGTCAAACAATACTTTAAACACTAATTTTAGATTAAAATTTCATATAAAACAATATTAGTCACCATTTATATAAGCATTTTCGATCTACGATTTTTCTATAATGGAAAAGTAAAAGTTAAAATTATCAACAAAA